GTTGCTATTATTTCTTTTTACTTCCATTATTTCCTTTTATTCAAAAAAAAAAAGAGAAAATATGGGAACAACCAGAAAAGAAGAAGGAAAAAAATGGAAAAAGAAGAAAAAAAAAGATGGGGTGTAGTTAGTTGACTTTATTTCTATTGCTTCGTTTCTTAACTGCTAGAGCATGCTGCTATGATGAATTGTACAATCATGGTGCATGGGTATGTGGTCAGATATACTAGCTGTGCATTTTGCTTCCCTTGGCAATATCGTTGAATGTTGAATATGTTGGACCTGACCCATTCTTGTAACTTTTGGGAGCTTTTGAGCCATGCATGAGCACATTATTCTTGTTTGCTCTATTTTTGTTTGATTGAGTGGGTATCACACATGGTATTGGCATTCTAGAACTTGCTACTTTATACATGTTGAGACCACATTTTGTTGAACTGGATGCTTTTGAAATGATAAGGGCATTTAGCATTTACTTTCCTTTAACTCTATAAAAACATGCCTTTATTTTGTCTCCCAATAGTGAACCATTTTGAGCTTTTATCCCTCTCCTTTGTTTGTTAGCCATGTTTGATAACTCAAAACCTTTTTAGACTTTCTTACTCACCCTTGTGTCGTTAAGGAATGTCTGAAATTTCATTGTTTGTGCAAGGCAAATAGATCTAGGGTCGCAAGTGTTGTTAGAGTAGAATTTGTATGGTGCCGTTTCTGTGCATCTGGAGCAAAAAAAGGGAGAAATCGGCAAAAAAAAAAAAAGCTGGTGAGCAGGAGACTCTACCTTCCAGGGCGTGCCCACGCCTTGCAAGACGTCCTCTCCAAAAAAAAAAAAAAAGAAAGCAGCAGCTCGTGAATAGAAGACTCTGGCCTACAAGGTGTGCCCACGCCTTGCAAGCCGCTTGCTCAAAAAAAAGAAAAAAAAAGAGAAGAGAGAGGAAGAAGGGGACGAGTTTCGACACTTGCACAGTGGAAATAGCAAATGAAAATGCCTTGGTGTGACATTGCCCCGTTAAAGCGTTGTGGTTATGTAGGGAGTATCAGACATTTTTTTGCCATATTACACCCTATTTTTACCTTCTTATCCCGCCTTTTGCCTAAACCCCATTACAACCCTATTAAAGTCCCTTTGATTAATGTGTTTAGTTCACTTTTGAGTGGTGGAGATGTGATAAATGTGCAAGCCTATGGTAATGCCATTCCGTGATGTTGATTTGAGCGTTCCTAGTATTCATACATTTCCTTTGAATTACCACCTGTCCGGTGTGTTCTAATTTTGGCAACATTGTCAGGATGAAGGGATGCTTGTGTTAGTGAAAAATTCTGCATAACCCTTGCTCTCTCGGTTGTACTTCTGAGCTCCGAAATGCTTGAGGGCAAGCATTACCTAGGTGTGGGGGGATTTGATAGAGCGGTTATTTGGCACATTTTGCACTGTTATTTTGTCCTAATTTTGGCTACTTACTGTGCTAAGTATTGAGGTTTTGCTCATATTTCATATTTGTATGAATTATAAGTGGTTGGTGTAAAAAGTGATTTCACGAGGCAAAATTCCAGAAGACTCTCTATTTCATGGCGTGACCACGCCAGAGAACGAAAGAGGTATATCAAAAGGACGGACCCGCAAGATTAACATGAGGAAACCAAAGGTGGTCCACGTGAACCAGACACATGGGATCGGACCCCCTGAGACAAGGCCTTAACCTTTTGTGGATTTCTCCTGCGGCGGTTACTAAAGATATAAGAAGTGCCAGATTTGCGTACAATCAAAAAACATTAGCTTTAGTTTTCTTTTTCTCCTTTTTGTCAGACGCTTTTCTTTGCTTTTGTTTTTCTTCGGCAGCAAATTAGGGAGCCAGATTTACGTCCAATCGAAACAGTAGCTTTAGTTTTGCTTTTCCCAGGCGCTAGACATCTTTCTCCCTTTTGACTTTTAACTCTTTCGCTGGGCAATTTCTTCGTGGCCTTTTGCTTTGTGATTGCGGCTCCAAAACGAAGGCGAAGTCAGGGCCCTCTCGATTGTTCCTTCAATTAATTTACCTTCCCAATTCTTCGACAATTAATTGAATGAATTCAATTAAATCACGCGGGATTGACACGATGAGGAGCGGCTAATTTTCTCTTCTATCCAAAGGTTGACGCGAGGGCGCGGTTCATAGCATCTGTGAGATCTAATCAAGCTTTCATTATTTCTTCCAATTCGTTACTATTCATGCTTTTCCTGAATTAATTGTTCATGGGTATTTTATTAATTGAATATCAACGGCCGGGTATTTAATTTAATTTGATAGCCTACCGTCACGTTAATTAAATTGAATCCGTAATTATTCGTTTAGTTGACAACTAGTGACAGCCACCATAATTGGCTTTATGCTGGGGAAACGCAGGATCTAATTTAAATAAACCCTCTTAGCGTGTTTATTGGTTAGGGTTGGGTTCTTCTAGTTTTAATGCAACTGGATAACTAAATTCCTATGGTCGTATCTAGGTTTGTTTTCTGGTTAGGGAAGCAGTCAATGGTCGTACTTTGACTGTCGAAAAAGTAAGGAAGAATTGGTTGTCAGAACTTGTTGATAGCTATAACCAACCTAGTGAATGAATGAATGAAATATCTTTGCATTGATGATCATTTGATTAGACCGTGCCTGAATAGTTGATCCTTTGGGTAGAATTTTATTGATTGCTATTTATTGATTGCTATTTTTACTAAATTGAACTTGTTGAGTTAGCTCTTGAATTTTATTTATTTTATTTTTATTTTCATCCCATTAATCATCCCCCAATTTTATTCTATTGACTTAGACAGAAACAATTTCCTACCCGTTCCCTGTGGAATCGACCATACTTGCCATTGTACGCAAAATTAATATTTTTATAGACAAATGTGGTATATCAGATCAAGCAAACTCTTCGGGAACAGGATGAATCAAGTAACCCATTGCACACCTAGGGTCTGCTCCAGTACTTGGATTTGTTCTATAATTAATTGTGGTAGTAATTAGGACTTTTTAATAATTATTATTGCACATGTTCGGCACCTGTCAATAAGTAGCATATGCTAAATTATATTTTCATTTGTCGGAAATCAATATGCATAAGATATCACCGAAGGACTAAATAATATTGATCTCTTAAACAAATCATACCTAAACTCATGATATGATACGTTGTGCAATGCTCACCTTTATACTCATGCTATTGTCTTTTTTTCTATTTGTTTTTTGAATGTGCAAAATTCTTTTGAATATATTGGTGGAAAAGCATAATATCTTTTACAAAATTATTCCAATTTATTTATAAAATGTTAGCACTTTAAGGGAAACTATGTATTATAAGAATGGTCTGATAATTTTCTAGTGAACATAACTACTACATCAAAAACTATAGGATTCTTAGAACTATAGATGTAGGAGTAAGAATGAATACTAGTAATTATGTGTTAAATTTGACAGCTAAAATAGCGTACACTACAGAAACAAAAAAAAAAAACGGTTTTGCTGCGAGCGAAAAAGAAAAAAATTAGGGTTCCAAATTTATGTGCAAAAATGTCTTTTTGGCACAAGTTTTACAATTGTGGTGTCAAAGAACTTGTTACCACCGTATCTTTTCCCTTCCTTAATTATTTTGGTAAATAATAAACTTATACCCTAATGATTAAATACGTGGTCAAAAAAATATCAGTAGCTTTGTCACAACTTTCATTTCATTTGGCATAGTAATACCTATAAATATTACGTAATGAATTAAAATTGTATTTTGGTCGACTTTAATGTTATCCAATTGTCATTAATCACCTTAATCCCAAATATACATAGATTGTAGAAACATAGACAAAAGCACTACAGACTACTTGTTTTTATAAACAAACACAAATTAGGTATTTAATGAACATATAGCATGACGAACAAGTCATTCGAAAGTATTTCAAGAATGGTCAAGCATTTTCTGTTGTGATATATTCAATTGTGCATATAGGCCTCATTACACAAGTTTATGTAAGGCACAGAGTACATGCATGTAATTTACTTTTTGAAAACCAATGTCATACTTGGAGGCCATTTCTTTTAGCGTATGGAAATATACATATGGAAAGAATAGGAGGAGTAGAAATAGAGCAGATGCTGACGTTTGTAGGATCATTTTGATGTACTTTTCACTCCTAATTGAACGATTAGGATGCACTAAAGTCAAACGAGAGGCACTGGATTATGTGCTGTGCTTGATGTATACACATTCCTACCGATTTAATACCAATCCAACTCTTCAAAACCCATTGCACTTTCCCCATTCCTCACCAATTCCGGCATCCCAGCAAGACAGTAGATTCTTTGTTTCTCTTGTACTCAAAGAAAGAAAACAAAAAAGAATGGAGGAACAGATTACCAACACTAAAATTCCAATCATTAAAATAATTTCGGATCTTGGTTTTTCGCAAATCAATTTGTGCTTAAAATTCCTACCACTTTATATCTCATTAACATGGATTAACTGATTGACATGATTCTCAACCTTTTTTTTTTCCTTCTGGGTGGTAAAATTGATTGCTTGCGTTGGATAAGTGTTCCCTGAAGGAATTTAACACTAGAACGGGGATTAAGTGCAATTAATTTCTAAAACCACAAGGGAGTTTCCAATAATTGGTAGAAGGGAATGTTTTTGAAATTATCGCTAAATATTATATATGCAAATACATATTTCTATCATGGTCGATTATCCTTGCGATGGCAAGATTCTCAATTTAAAAGGTTAATTTAGCAACTGGATACTCATAGGTCAAAATGTAGGACTGTATGCGTGGATTATGATAAGTGCTTATAAAAGTTCAATTAATTTTCACAATGAAAATTCGAAGCCATGAATTGTTCTTTTATGCAAATATTTTTCTTGCATTGATAATGTATATATTAGTGATTTTTTATGCACAACGTATGTGAAGGACCTTTGTTTTTTTTTTATCTTTATATTGCAATCCGAGCATCCCGGATAAGTGCGCCTCCCTAGGTCCTATGATAGATTTCTGCAAGGGCCAAGGCATCAAAGTATTTCTTTCCCTTGGTGGGAGGCCTGATCTTTCTCCTGATGATGCTCAGAAAGTTGCAGATGATATCTGGAACAATTTTTTGAATAATAGTGCAGGCCATGGTCCTCTCAATGCTACTGTAGATGGAATAGACTTCCGTATCCAAAGCGGATCAAACCAGAGTCTGGATGTTCTCGCCCAGGCACTCTCGGCTTATAGCATACCTGACAGAAAGGTGTACTTATCTGCAGCACCACTTTGTCAAATTCCTGACGATTTCTTGACGCTGCTATCAAAACTGGCGTCTTTGACTACGTGTGGGTGCAATTTTTCGATGATCCTTCATGTGAATACAGTCCAGAAAGTCCGTCTCCCCTCATCACAAGTTGGATTGCATGGTCTTGTTATCTAGACAAATATAGGAAAAGTCTGAAGTAACGATAGTTATGATAATGAAACTGTTTTTACCTGATATAACAGGTAAAAATACTTTTAGCGACCATTTGATTACCTGTTGTACTGGTCATCTAAATAAAATAGTACCTCAAATTTTAGTTAGTAAGTTTTGCATAAAAAATAGTAAGTTAACTCAATAAATTAGTAACTTTTATGCCTCAAAAAGTAAATTTGAATAAATATGGAACTTACCTTTTTTTTTGAAGTAAATTACTACTCTATATCTGAAACTTAGCCTTTGGAGAGTAAGTTTAGTTCAAGTAATAGTAAGTTTTTATAGATTAATAGTAAATATTGTTGATAGAATAGTAAATTTGGTCAATCATCAAAACTTACTAGTTTGTGGCATAAATTTACTATTTTACTTAAAGAAACTTATATGAAACAAGTATTAGGAAGTTTATTTGAAATGATGCTAAGATTTTTTTATGAATAATTGAAGCTTAGTATTATAGTTAGTAATTACTCGTAATGTAAATATATGATACACAATTGTATGTATCATTTATAAATGTTATATGTTTTAAGCATTTTAAATATACTATGAAAACTTTTTTTTTGCATATGACCTTATAAAATATGTAAGAATAATTTGTCATATTATAAATTTTGAATTATTTTTGAATTTGTGAAAGGTTAGAAAGATTGGATGACAGTAACAACAAATCTTTCGAGTTATATATAGAATTTCACTTATCTGTACATCACCATATTTTCTATAGATGAATTTTATGTAAACTGTTAAAATTATGAATTCACAAACGACTAAATCTGACTATTTTATGGCATATATTAGTCTAAAAGACTAAAAAATTACTGTAATCATGTGCACGTTGATTGTTGAATTGAAATTTCCTTTATTACTAGTACAAGTTCTTCTAATCAAAGCAAAATAAAATAAAACATCTTTTCCTATTGTATGCAGTAGTTATGTTTAATAGAAAATTATTAAAGCATTTTTACAATACATAATTTCTCCTAAAATTAGTAACATTTTCCATGACCTCTAACCTTGTCAATAATACTAACTACCGACATGTAGATAATCTTAAAAGCAAAAGCCATCAATATGACAAGAAAAGAATGTTTTCATGCTGAACAAAAAAAATTGCGATTCTATATAGAATCGAAGAAATTCATCATGAACGAGAATGAATTGCAAAATTATCACATTTCTAATTTCATGTGCATCCAGAATTTCACGCAGCATTAGTTTAGAAGAACTTTCCTTTTTCACACTAAGGAACCAATCCCAGTCTCTACGTCTCTTTTATTTTTTTTCTTTAACCATTAAATGGGGCCAAAGTTGTTAGCAGTAAAATACTAAATAAATTTAATTCCATTTCAAACTCTAGTTAATTGTATACTAATATTTTACACCACAATCAATTGAGCACCAATTTTTCTTTTTTTTTAAGTAGCTATTATTTATTTTATTACTTAGATTAAATATTTACATATAAAATAATAGCAATAAAATGCCAATCCTTGGATCAATGGAACTTCAATTATTGTTAATAAAACTAATTTTGCATTGATAAAAATTAGTCTACAGAATGAAAAGTCAATGGCAACAATTGCTAAAATATAGCAATTTTTAATTATGGGAAAATAAACAACTAAGTTTCCAAAATATTTCACTTTTATTGTTTAAAAAATCTCAACTTGTTGACTAAATTCAAAATAATTCTATTGTCAAAAATATTTTTTCTCAAATTAACTTTCATGATTAGATGTGAGATACAAATATGGTAAAATATCCCTCATACGTATGTCATGGATATTTCAGACTTTTAGTAAAAAAAAAATTTTGTTGTTAAAATAACATTGTATCACAGTGTACTAATTATTTTAGAACCATTTTATATGTGAACTAAATTTAGTTTAAATTATACAATAGATTATATATGCATGTGACTTTCATTTATAATTATTGGATCCCATTCTTATGAACAATCTCCAAAGGAAAAAAAATCCAGATCATACTGATTTTCTTATATTAATTGTTATACTAATTTTGTCATTTTTATTATTATATTATTTCTCATTTTGTTTAGACTCTTACTCTTATTATTTCTTGTGTCTCAGATGTAAATTTATTAAAATTTTATCATCTTATTATATTCATAGGTGTTAAATTATAAAAATTTTGATATATAAACAAGTAATATTCTATATATAACTAGGAAGATTTGTTGTTATTGTTATCCAAACTTTCAAACTTTTCAAAAATGAAAATGATTAAAAACTTATAATACGACAAAATTTTATTACATATTTTACAAGATTATGTGAAAAGTCAAACTATTTTTCATAGTATTTTAAAATATATAAATAAATTTTTTTAAAATTATACCTATAATCATGTATTATACAGGTATATTATGAGTACTTACTAACTAAGGCACTAAGAATTAATCATTAATAAAACATCTTATCGTTATTTCAAATAAATTTCCTAATACTAGTTTGAAATATGTTTTAAAGTAAAATAGTACATGTGTCCCATAAATCAGTAAGTTTTGATTATTAATCAATTTTACCATGTTATCAGTAAGAATTACTATTTATGTATAAAAACTTACTATTACTTGAATTAAACTTAATCTCTAAAAAGTAAGTTTGGGATATAAAATAGTAATTTATTTATTTAAAAAGTAAGTTTAATATTTATTCCAATTTATCTTTTGTAGTATAAAAGTTACCAATTTATTACTGTTAACTTACTATTTCAGATGGGAAACTTACTTTCTTATTTTTAAGTGTTATCCTATTTAGGTGATAGGTCTATCAAATAATCAAATGGTCGCTAAAAGTAAATCAAAAATAAATCGAAAATGGTCATATAAGTGTTATCCTATTTATGTCTCAAAAAATAAATCGAAATAAAAATGAAAGTTACTTTTTAAAAAAAATAAATTACTACTCTATATTCGAAACTTACTTTTTAGAGAGTAAGTTTAGTTCAAGTAATCGTAAGTTTTTATAGATTAATAGTAAATCTTGTTGATAGAATAGTAAATTTGGTCAATCATCAAAACTTACTAGTTTGTGGCATAAATTTACTATTTTACTTAAAGAAACTTATATGAAACAAGTATTAGGAAGTTTATTTAAAATAATGCTAAGATTTTTTTATTAATGATTGAAACTTAATATTATAGTTAGTAATTGTTGGTAACGTAAATGTATAATACATGATTGTATGAATCATTCATAAATGTTTTGTGTTTTAAGCATTTTAATAAATGTATGTATCATTTATAAATGTTATGTGTTTTAATAAATTTATTTTCTAGATCACAAGTATAAAAGTTAAAGTTGTACTCATGTAGCATAATGTTTGAAAATTATAGTAAATTTACCCATATATTAAGTTTCGTGAGTTTCAAATATATTTTGTATCATTTACAATATGGATTTATATGCACATTTTTATCAAAATTATTTTTAATTCGCAAATAGTATGTAAATTATTATAAAATGTCATTTTATAATAATCATAAATTTTATAGGTGAATGGTCTATAAACTGCTAAAATTGTCAATTTATAAATGAGTAAATCATACTACTTTATGGCATATATCAGTCTGATCAACTAAAAAATATTACCTTAATTAAGTGCACGTTGGTTGTTGATTTGAAAGTTGCACCCCTGTCACTATTTTGTTATTACTACCACAAGTTTTTCTAATCAAAGTTAAACAAAATCAAATATCTACGCTACATATGAGACTGAACTACTGAAAATATACATTTTTTTTCAGTTATTTTTGGAGAATCAAGGACCAAGTAAATGATAACCTTCAGGATTAATAAATGAGTAGCTCGAAAACCAGGGGGTATTGAAGTTTGATTCTGCATTTCCATTTTAAACTGGAAAGGCTGAAGACTTTTTTTTTTTTTAACAGGAACATGCAACGTTGATATCAATTACATTTTGAGCTTAAACAATCCACAGGGACTTGAATCTTTCTAAATTGTACAGAAGGGACAATCCCTTCTAAAACCATCAAAGCCTGCATTAAAAATCATCAAAATATTCCATGGCCTGATTTGTCATTAATCCTTGTTGACAACTGCTGCCGCAAATTCTTAGTGTCAAGATTCCCCAGTTGCAATTGTTTGGTTCTCACGGCATTGTTGTGGACTCCACCTAGTGATTGTCCTTTCTTCAACAATGTAACTTTCTAAACATGATGGCAATGTTACATTCTCTCCACATTTATCAATATTAACAAGCAACAATGTCTTTGCAACACTGCCACAAAGTCAAGTGTGCAATGATAATCAGACCAAACCATCAAACGCCCATTTGTTTCACCATTGTTATCAGACAAAACAATCACAGCATACTCTGAATGCACCAAAGATGGATGATGCCGGTAGGCGACAAAGTCCACACCATACTGTGATCCTGATCTAACCACCCAATTCTTCATCCGAAGATGAGAATAAGATTTGAATAAATTCGTAAAATTTTCCTTTTTAGACATCGTGTACATCCACAACTCTTCACTATCAATTTCACAATTATTTTCGTTGACAATTTTGATGCATTTTAGGACATAGAAGAGGTAAAAAGCTTCCTCCAGACCTAATTGGAACCACTGCTTATCCTTCTCAGCTGTGACTACCGGGCGGCCAAAACATGCTCGACTAAGTAGATCAGTTTGTTTGGCATCTGCTTGGAAGAGTACGCTCTGACTTTTGAAGACTTAGGAAGCCTCCTTTGAACGTATATTGATCACCAGTAATACAAAGCCACATGCTCTGACTTTTTCTGAAACCAGGATATGTATATATATATATATATATATATATATACATAGATGCTTAAAAGCGTCCCATTAAGGCTTTCTTAACTACAACTTCACCAAAGAAGCATCTAGAACAGACACTGCATTTATTGGCCGAACACATTGTATCCCCATTTGACCGAAAGTGTATCCCGAA